CTTTCTTTCTTTCTTTCTTTCTTTCTTTCTTTCTTTCTTTCTTTCTTTCTTTCTTTCTCTTTCTTTCTGTCCCTTCCTTCCATCCCCCTTTCTTTGTCTATCCCTTTTCTTCCTTTCTCTTTCCCTTTTCTCTTTATTTCTTTGTCTCTTCCTTCTCTCTCTTTCTCTCTTTCCCCCCCTCTCTCTCATTCTCTTTTCCTCTCTTTCTCTTTCTCTCTCTTTCTTTTTCTCTCTCATTCCCTCTCTTTCTCTCTCTCTCTATCCCTTCCCTACCTCCTTCCCTCTCTCCTCCTGAAGCTAGGAGATCCACCTGAACCCCCCCACACACACACACTACCCAGCAGTGTCACTCATGATGAGGGTTCTTCCTGGGTCTCCCAGAGCCCCAGTTACCGGGTGCGATTGTCCATTTACACCCGGTCCTGCATTGCCCGGAAAAGCCAGCAGGCAAGGCTTCCAGGTCCAACAAAGGGGCCGTAGGTGGGACTTCCTTCCCTCCCTCTTTTGGGGAAAGGAAAGGGCCCAGCTGGGAACTTCAAGCAAGGTGTGCACTGCAGCCTCGCCCACCCCACCAGCAGCTCTGGGCTAGGCAACAGTTTGGGCATTCCCAACTGCCTCCAAACTTACCTTCCTCCCGTGGCTGGTAGCAGAGGGTAATGTGAGCCAGCCAGGGCAGAGCCATCACCAGTCGGCTCCCCACCAGCCCACATCTCATCCCCTGCTCAGATTCTTTGCAGCTGCTGAGCTCGCAGCTGCCAAGGGGTGCGGAAGGCAACCAGGAAGCACAAGGCTACACCCCCACATCACCCCTGGCAGAGGTAAGGGGTGAGAGGCAAAGGGGCAATGCAGGCTGGGAGGCATAGCGCCGTGCTCCCTGGTCACCCACCCCCACCCCCACCCCTCGCAGGCAAGGTCCAACAGCTGCAGAGAATCCAGGCAGGGGACGAGATGCAGGCTGATGGAGACCCGAGCAGCGATGGGTCACCTTCCTCTCTGCCACCAGCAAGCCAGGTAAGCTCGAGGCTGGGGACAGTGGTGTGCACTGCAGCTTTGCCCACCCTGCTGGCAGCTCTGGGCTAGGCAGTGGTTTGGGCTTTCCCGACTGCCTACAAACTTACCTTCCTCCTGCGGTTGGTGGCAGAGGGAAAGGTGAGCCAGCCAGGGCAAAGCCATCGCCACTTGGATCCCTGGCAGCCCGCATCTCATCCCTTGCTCGGATTCTCCACAGCTGCTGGGGCTCACAGCTACTTGGGGGGGAGGTGACCAGAAAGCATGAGGCTACACTGCCTGCATTGCCCTTCTGCCAGCCATCCCTCCCTCACTAGGCCAAGCGTTTTAGCTGAGTGCGGGAGGCGCAACCAGGAAGCATGAGGCTACACCGCCCTCATTGCCCCTGGCAGAGGAAAGGGGTGGCAGGTAGAGGGGCAATGTGGGCTTGGTGGCATAGCATCGTGCTCCCTGGTCGTCCCCCTGCCCTCACTCCTAGCAGGCAAGGCCCAGCAGCTATGGAGAATCCAGGTGGGGGCCAAGATGCAGGCTGGTGGGGACCTGAACAGCAACGGATCAGCCCTGGCTCACCTTCCTCTCTGCCACCAGCAAGCAAGGTAAGCTGGAGGCTGGGGTCAGTGGGGGGGGGAAGCTTGCTAGGCCGTGAGTTCTGCATGCTGCAGCACTGGTGGCTAAGCAAGCCAGACAGCCACGACAGTTGGAGGGGAAGCTTGCTAGGCTGCAAGTGCCGCATGGGATGGAGCCATGGTGCTGGTGGCTAAGCAAGCCAGACAGGGATGGTTGGGGGGGAAACTAGCTAGGCCACAAACACTGAGGGCGGTGGCGGTATGGCGGTGGTGGCCTAGGCCAGCCTGGGAGTCAGGACTCAACCGGGGCTTGTGGTGGTCGTGGCTGTAAAGGTGAGGGCAGCAGCAATAGCACAATGGTGGCAGTCTAGGCTGGCCCAGGAGTTGGGACTCAATTGGGACTGGTGATGGCAGCAGCATGTAGGCGACTGGGGCTTGCAGAGCCTCACTCACCTAGGGAGATCATGGCGGAAGGCAGACAGCAATGGCTGGCAGGCAGGCAGGTGGGTGGGCAAAGACAGACTGCAGTCAGTGATGGTGCATGGCCAAGATAAGGAGGGACAGGGCGAGGTGGGTGGGGAAAGAATGCAGTGATTGTTGTGTATGCGCACAATGTCGGGAGTGACTGGGCAAAGAGTGGAGAAGCAAGTGGAGACGGGCATGGCCAGCTAGGGGCCTGATTTACCAGTTCTCTGAACTAACGAGAATCATAACAACCGATTCTACCGAACCAGTCTGAACCGGTAGAATCCCACCCATGCATTCCTGCAAAAATTCCACAATTGCTCAGTGAGCTTCTTCTTGGCTGCAAGTTTGGGCTTTCTCCATCTTTCTGGCTATATGAACTTCCCAAAGTACAGGGATGAGGAACTTCAAAGGGCAGAAACTATGTGAGATAAGGGATTCTCAGTTATTCTTTGGGTGATGTAATTTAATCTGTCCACAGTTTTGTTGTTAAAAGAAATCCACTGATAACATTATTCAGATTTAAATCATTTGAGTCAGATTTGCAGTCTTCCCTTTAGGAATTTATCGCAATGCTTAATAGAATACCCCATTTGTCTAGGATAGTTTGAGAATTCCTGCCCAGGAAAGGGTGTTCTGGGACAGGAATCCCAGGAATAGAATTCTCTTCTAAACTGATGATTGTGTCTGTGAGGGATTGCAGTGTCTTTCCATGAGACTTCAGTGATATCTTCAGTGTGCAGATTTTGGCAGAACATTAGAGCACTGCAGTAACATGACAGTTTAGCCAACAACAGAAACCTCAGTCATGACTCCTGTTTGTGGGTGGGGGGATTTTTGCAGGCTTCAACACAGAATGATAATGCTTCAGCAGCAGTGTAAAGAAAACAGAACACTCTTCCAGACCCAGCAAGCTGAATTATGTGTCTATGAAGCACAGCATGGACCACTGCAAAAGGCAGTCTCTGGTATGTCCTTACTCCCCCTCAAGCTTTGTTACTATACTACAGGATATAATGCAGCAGCCCACATAGTTTTATGCAGACCCCGGTGTGCAAATGTGTCACCTCTCCTGCAGGAGCTGTATTGGTTGCCAATTTGCTTCTGGGTGCAATTCAAGGTGCTGGTTGTCACCTTTAAAGCCCTTCATGGCTTGGGTCCGGATTATCTGAGGAAATCTCTTGCCAGTGACATCTACCCGACCCATTAGAGTGAGGAGGCAGGGAATATTGCAGGTCCCACCCCTGAGGGAGATACACCTGGTGGGACCTAGAAGAAGAGCCTTCTCCATGGTGGCTCCGTCTCTCTAGAGCATCATTCCCCCAGAGATTAGAATGGTCTCCTCATTTAATACTATTCCGAAAGGCACTGAAGACTTGGTTTTGCCAGCAGGCCTGGGGAACCCAGAAAGGGATGAAACTCATCAAATGGCTAGTGTGATCTGCTGTCGTTGGGGTAGGGGGTGGGAGTTGGTTTTTGTTTGTTTTGTTTTGTTTTGTTTTTTTGTTTTCCCAATTTTTGTTCTATTGTACTTTACTAATTTATTTGATTCTTTTTATTAGTTTTTATTGTTTTTATTTTTATTTTTTGTTTTAAATATGATTTTACATTGTGTAAGCTGCCTCGAGTTGCCATGGGCGAATAGGCGGCAATATAAATCAATCAATCAATAAAAATAAATAAATAAATAAATAAATATTAAGTTAAAATATTCTAAGATTTCAGAAAGCAGCAGGTCCAGCTGAAGTTTCCTGCACAAATTACTATACTTCTCTTCTTTTTGTGGTTGTAGAAAACTGCAACTGAGTCACTGTTCAGGAACTATAGTTGCTGATGCCAGAGCAATCCAGAACTGTAACTACCAACCTAGACTGACAGCATGGTTCTTTCTTTGTAGGGACGCATAAGCTGCTGCTGACAGAAGATGTGAAGAACCAAGGAATTCATGTCATAGGATACCTTCAGGACTATAATACTCTTAAGAAACAGATTTTGGATGCTAGGACTTGGATCCACCAAATGGCATCACTTCTGCAGTCTGACCTGAAACCACAGGACAACATGGTAACTGGGAAGGTTTGGTTGCTGAGGACAGAGTAGTCTTTTCACTGAGTTTTAAATTCCTCAAGGGTTCCTTCTTTCACCACTGGAAACAGTTTTTGCCAATATTCTGAATATATTATAATATGGATTCTAATAATTCATAATCCATCTCCATATTATTGGGAATGGTGTACTACTGAGCTCTTTCAAGCAAACAATGGTAAACTTCTAACCCAAGAGTGAAAAAACCATAGTCCCTTGCCAGAGGGAGGAAGGAAATATCAAACGCTACCAAGAAAGTCAGTGAGGAAAATAGTATGATATTTGCATTAACCAACCTCTCTATTTTCACAGATTTTCTGCCAAAAAAACATCAAGAAATTACTTGTCCATACCAGTACTTTGCATCAGATCCTGGAGAAGTCAACTTTCCTCCTTACAATGTTTTGGAGAGCACCACCTCCCATGCCTCTCAGCTCAGCTCAAATAAGGCAACACACAAAGGGAAGTATCTTGCTATTACTGCAGAGCTGTTTCTCCCATTGGAAACTTTGAGGTGACAATTTGATTGGCCTAGATAAATAATAGCTGAAAATCCATCTCAATATTGTAGAATTCTAAAAACCTTTCCCAGTCCAGTTTAAATAGTGCTGATTGGGCTTTTCCATCTATGACAGTATATTGCAAGCCCCTTCCCATACCCAACCATATTAGGGTGTTTGGAAACCAACCATTTTTCCAGCTTGTGACCTGTGTACTAATCCTAGAGCTGTGTCCTTTGATAAGAACATGCCTCTTCGCCTCTATATTCCTCAAGATGGTTTATCTCCCTTCCTCTTTTACTTGGACCCCTTTAGCTTTTTAGATGACTCAGGATGATTTCCAAGTGCCCCTTACTTGCATTCCATTCAGTGGTGGGATTCAAAAAATTTCACTACCAGTTCTGTGAGCGTGGCTTGGTGGGTGTGACTTGGTGGGTGTGACTGGATGGTCATGTGACTGAGTGGGCATGGCCAACTCAACATCACTCAGGGCAAGGTGGGACAGCACCTTGCCCTGAGTTTTGTTGAGTTGGCCATGCCCACTCAATCACATGACCGATGCTGCAGAGACAGGGCAATTTCCTATGTATCTTTCCCCCCCTCCACCCTTGGGCTGACAAAATAAAAGCCCATCTAAAGATGGGGACTGCCTGCTGAGTCTTCCTCCCAAATGGGTTTTGTTTTGGGATGGTTTTTTTTTTTTTTTTTGCCAGAAGCCCCTTGGAGATGCCCTATTTTTTACGGAACAATTTCTGCACCACCAAATCTTACTGTACCTTGTTGCTGCGGGTGCTGCTGCAGCCATCAGGCTGCCCAAGTAAAGAACTTCACCAGCTCAGGGCGAATGTGAGGAGCAAGAGGGAAAGCCAAAGCACTCACTCCATAGCGGCCAACTTTGCGCTCTCTCACTCCAATGCACGCTTTCCCACTCCGGTTCGATACTCCCAGTGAGTTCAAGGAATGTGAAGGGAGGCAGACACTGTGCCTCTGAGGAAAAGAGGAGGAGGCGAAGCCCTGGCTATCACCCGGGAGGGAACTGCAGAGGGACATACCCCTGTCGCTCTCGCCACTGCTACTTTTGCTCTTGGCTTCTTCCATGGGAGGGGGTGTTTTGGCATGCAGTGGGATAAAAGTACAACTGCTCAGTCTCTCACCTACAAAAACAAGGATGGGAGTCTTTCCAAGCAAGCCACAACAAGCAGCAAAAGAGTCTAAAACTAGGGTGTTCTTAAAGTCAATCTTGAAGAGCTGGAAGACATTTCGTTGGATTGCTGCCAAACTCATTGTTGGGAGAGGTATAGCCCCTGAATACATGAGAAACCTTGGGCCAAGTTCTTTTAAAGTTCAGACAAGTCTTCTCCTCCTTCTTGGCCTCAAACATACATAAAGAGCAAACACGCACACACCTCACGGTGCCGGAGCAACTTGCCCATGCACTGTCTCATCAAAGAAGGTCCCGGTGCTATGAGGTGTGTGTGTCTTTGCTCTGTGTGTATGTTTAAGGCCAAGACAGAGGAGATGACTTGACTGAACTTTTTCTGCCTCGGAAGCTGCTCGGAAGGCAGCCGCCATGGCCTGTCCCTTTATAGTTCCCTCCCTCTCCAGCCACCTGGCTTCAGTGTGAAGAGTGACTGGGACCAGGAGAGTCGAGCCCTTTTCCTTTGGTAGCTGGGCTGCCTTTGCACAGAGTCGGATGGTATGCAGCATCGTAGTACCTTAAAGGAACAGACTGCAGCGGCTGCCTTCTGAGCAGCTCTGCTGCAAAGGGAGGCAGAAAAGTTCAGTCAAGTCTTCTCCTCCTTCTCAGGCATACACTCAGAGCGTGCACACATTTCATGTCCCCAGAATCTTTTGAGAGGAGACGGCATGTGGGCGAGTCCCTCTGGTGAAGCAGGCTGTTTTCCTGGCCAAGTCTAGCCATGAGCAACACCAGCAGGCAATGGGGTTCGCGTGTGCGGCTGATGCAAAGAACTGGGCGGTGATGGTGACAACGGGACTTCAGGACTCTTTTTCGGCCTGTAGTTTTCAGTATTTTTGGTGCAAGAAGCCTTCAGCCGCCGCCTCTTTGCCAGCTGGAATGGAGCCGGCAGCAGTGGCTGGAGGCTTCTTGTGCCAAAAACTACTGGCGGCTGGAGGCTTCTCGCAAAAGGTGGCTAAGTCTCACCGTGTCCCCCCCAACAAGGCGGTCCTTCAGAACAGAAGGTGAGCAAGGTGAAGGCCGAGCGGGCAGCATGTGGATGGAGGCCCTGGGGAAGGCTAGAGCCAGGGACTGGTGCATTTCCTGACCCAAGACAGAGGGTGAGCAGGTGGCATGAGGACAGAGGCCCCGGGGAAGGGGGCACGTCCCCTGACCCAAGGCGGAGGGCGGGCAGGTGGCATGCAGGTGGAAGAATGGCAAGAGCCAGGTCCAAAGGGTGGCTGAGCTTCACTGTGTCCACCCCGAGGTGGCAGCCTAGGCCAGCCTAGTCAGCACTTGACCAGGGCTTGAAGCAGTGGAGGGAGGGAGGTAGGCTGGGCAGGGAGTCGACTCGATTAGGGCTTGCAGTGGCTCTCTGTTGGCTGATCCCACCATTGACTGGCCCCTCCCCTCCCCATCACTCCTTGTCTGGCCTGAGAAGGTAAGGGTGATGGCGGGGGATGGAGACTTGCTCCATATTGCAGAGGAGGTGACTGGGTGGGAGTGAATGATATCGAGTTGGCCACGCCCACCCAGTCATACCAGTAGGCTCCTGGTGTTTTCTTTTCTGTGAGAAATGGGTCCAAATGGCTCTTTGAGTGTTTAAGATTGCAGACCCCTGCTCTAGATATGCCCATCCTTAACTTCCCACTACCACCATAAATATACTTTTACCCTGGCTCAGTAACTTCTACATAGCTTACAAATATGGTATTTTGGAAGACTGGAAGAATTTTAAAATACATTCTCTTCATATACAAAACATTACAGTCCATCTAATCTTCAGAGGAATGTACACACCCAGGTTACTTGATAAAATATAAGCTCCTTCCTTTTTTAAATAATATGCAATTATTGTAGTCATCCTAAGAGATAAAATACTTGTTTTCACAGGATCAGACAGTAGATGAAGAAATCCAAATACTTAGAGCCAAGTTAGCTGTGCAAGAGGACCGTGTGCAGAGTGCTAACCATATTAAAGGAAATTTGGAGAACTTTATTCTCACTCACTGTAAGTGTCCTCTTTCATGGAATGGATTGGATAGGACCAATGTCCTGCTTCTGGTACTCAAGCATCCCATGAGCATAACTCTACAGCATTAATGGGTCTGTCTGTGTGTCACAGTCTCACCCCACTACATTTTATTCTATGCCTCTCAAACCATTCTTGAATGAGTTTGAGCCACTGAATATGCAGATGAGGGGTAGGAGTGACATATTTAACTTCCAAGTTTATAGTAGCTGCTCCTGCAGGATCTTGGGAAATTTGTTTTGGAAGGAGTGATATCTTCCTAGAATTTTTCAAGTGTCAAATGTCCAACAAGTTTGGAAATCTTTTCCACATGCCATTGAAATGGAACTGAAAATGCCTGTCTCAATCTACTCCCTGATGAAAAGGAAGAAAATTAAATCTGCTAATGAAAGTTTAAATTAGTTATAAATTAGACAAAAGGGCTAAAGAATCCTTATGAAACCCTATTTCCAAAATGACAATGGCTACGTTTTTTGAATACAAAATTATTCATCTTCACTTGCTAAGTCTATATATCAGAAAGGAACATTTCACAATGGACTTGCCAAGTTAGGCAACTAACAGAGATGAGTTGGGGACAAAGAAACTAATTCAAATTATGGTTGACACTTTCTTTGCTACAGTGACTGGAACGTACAACGTGCTGAAGAAAGCAAGAATCAACCTGGAGGTATGTTCACTTTCACCTCTCCTTCATAAAATGCTGCTATTCCAAGACTGAAGATAGAGACAAGGAAAGCTGCCCCAGGAAATTTCCTGCCCTAGGAAGAGGAAGCCTCCAAGTTATTGAGCAAATTGTCTGCTACTATGCATTGCCTGGCCAACAAAAGTCTTAATTAACATATGAATAATAAATAATCAGTTTTGTGCTTCCCATTCTTGTTTTTTACCTACCCTTTTTTACTTTTTATCTAACAAGATATGGGCTTTTACAATCCTAAAGTTGAGCTTAGTATGCTAATATTGACTTCAAGGTGAATGTCTTCAGCAATTGATGCTGCTATACAAATGCCTGAATCTTGATATGATAAATAGGCATCCTACTTTTCTGTTCATAGGGCTATCTTTCATTTATATTTTTGTGGTCAGAGCATAAATTATAACCAAGGGTATTAGCATGTGTTAAAATAACTGCTATGAATGCTTCAGAATGGGAGGAGGGGTGTTAGAAAACAAAGCCTAGTAGAAATGTTTGCATCTCTTCCTTATATCATTTAATTACAGGAGATGTCTCAGAAGCCTAAAACCATTTCTTCCATTGGCCATTGAAGAAACTGATTCATCCACACAGTCAGAAATATGGAGAAAGAAAAATAGATCCAACAGTCACTCCTAATCCACCTAAGCTTTTTCAAATCATCTCTTCATATGCTCTGCTGCCGGACTCTGGAAAATGTATTTGGAAATGCTCCAGACATTAGTGCAATACAATAACTGGACTAAAGTTATATATATGGAGTACACAAATATACAGAGACTAGACTATAGCCAACATGCTATTAAGAGAAAAGGATGCTGTAAGAATAGCATCCTCAGAGAAGTATCTTAGTATTTGTATGGTGCAAGAGTCTGTTTATGCTATTAGGATTAATGATCATGCATTATCATTACTATGGTTGATTGTACAATCAGCCAGATATTTAGATTGAATTTGGCATTTTTTCCCACCCATTGAGCCCTTCACAAGGACAAGAAAATTAGATGTAATTGTTTCATGGTGTTAAAAAGTATCATTTCAGGATGGATGTAAGCTCTTTCCAGTAAAGTTGCCTTTTGCAATTGAGTAATGATGATTTTGTCAGTGCTGATGGTATACAAATAGTGCTCCAGGTGTTTGCGATTGTACCCAATTATTGCAACTACCTTGCTTCAAAGGAATATGACCTTGATGCATTCTTGGCAAGGGAGACGTTGTCAGCCTGACAATAAGACACACTTATTGGATGGATTTTTTTTTAACATCTGAATTCCCACATTTAAAAAAAAACATCCTATCTGCAATTTACAGGTGATGGAAATTGGTTCATGAATGGCATCTTATTCTCAGTATAAACAGGGGTGTACTGCCTCCTAAAGAAACAAACTTTTCATATTATTGCAAACACTGCCATTCTCTTGATATTTTAAGAGACTTTCAATGTGAGTTTTAGGCCTGAAATTGGTTTGGAGGCTTTAAGACATAATCTAGAAGAGGAAAACCCTGTGAAAAACAGCCTTTAAAATGGTCAATGAATGTATCTTTCTTTTAAGCTGTTTAAATTAAGAACTAGGAAATTTGTGGTTTTTTTTGACAGTAGCTTTATTTGGATAACCAATAAAAGTAGAAAGTTTGGGGGAACTATGATTTATTCCTCATATTTATGTTATGGACTTGATTCCATGTTTGTTCAACAATAAACCTGAGATGTGACCTAGAGTGGAATTGTACCTTTAATTTTCTATTGATCTAAAATGATTGATTGAATCATTTAATGATGTTCAAGATGAGTCTTGAGCAAATTCATAGATTAGGACTGTATCTTCCACCTGGTTTGTCCAAACAAGGACAAAAAAACCTTTTGGCACAAAAGAAAGTTTAACAGCTACCTACAGTTCCTCTGAGATGGAGTAATAACCTGACTAATAACCCCTAGGATGGACTATTTCAATAGACTTGACAAATGAGCAATGAGCTTGGAGGCACTTGGTATCTGTAACAGGAAGAGTTTTGTCATGTTTATCTTCAGATCACTGGATTGTTTTTCTGATTGTAGTCCTATATATTTTGAAAGATATACCCATTGCATGCAACTATGAAAGGTGGGGTCTACTTTTCTGCACTTATGAAATACTTACCCAGGAAAGTTTTTGTCGGGTGTGCTTTGTGTGATTGGTCTGGTTCTTTTTTTCTTTCCAGTTTAGCCACCTGGTATCCAAGTATTTCTCTTTTACGTATTTATCTTATTAAGATAATACTCTTAATAGTTGCTGGTACTAAATAACTTACAATTTTGTGCCACAGATTTTTTTAAAAAAACTGTCCTAAAATTTTTTTGAAGTCATGGTATTAATATATTACACAAAGCCTTATTTTCTTATTTTTCTCCCAGTACCAGATAAGAGACTAAGCAAGAAGACAAGTGCAGGCTGAGAACCACATTTCTTACTTCCCAAGTTGGTCTGTGCTGTTCTCAGAGAACTCCAGCCACTAGAAATAAAAACTTTCTACTAATCACCCCAAGAAAGGGCTCTAAACTAACTCAAAGTCCAACAGGAACTGAGAATTAAGTTTATTCTTGTTTCATATTTTTATTACTTTGGCCTAAATTTTATGAATCACATTTCTTTGGGTTTTTTTAAAATTTTCTATACATATTAAAAGTGGACCTAGATCTCTAAATTACCTCTGAAAGATAATATTTGAATAGCATCAATTAAAGACTCTGAGTCAAAAGAGTTACTCCCCAATAGAAATATAGGATATATTAACAAGATAACACAAGCACCAGTTGCCACCCTATTTGTGTGCTCCAATAAGACAAGAATGGGGACTAGACTTTTTTCTCCTGCCACTGCAAGCAGGTAATGTAGTGTTTCGTATCTGAACTAGAGAAGACAGCTTATCCAGCTCTTCCTGATTTCAATAAATTTTTGAACAAATGATACATTTGCAATTAGACACAGATCATATCTGACAAGACAGACCAATTCTTGAGACAACATGAAGTGGGAGGCATAGAGTACTGGAGGCCCAACAGGAAAAAAAGTGTTCAGAACCAGTCAAGTTATGCATGATCACAGAATTCCAAGGCTGTAATAAAGCTTGGAGGTCTTCTAGTCCAATCCCCTGACCTTTGAAAACCATTTTTTTTTAATTTCTTGAGTTCTATCTCTGTTTATCAGCTGTATCTCAAAGTCCATGGCTTATAAGATAGGTTGAACTTACAAGATGTTACCAGATACATTCTGATTTTGGACAAAAACATGTCTGCCTTCCTATCCTATGGTGGATTTTTGGGATGAGGGGGAAGATGAAGAGATATATAAGTGAATTCAAACAGCAGAAAAAGAAATGACATTCTTCTTCAAGGAAAATAGAAAGGAAGAGACCTCATTATAAAATGTATGGGATACAGCAAATGTATATCTCCTAGGATTAGAATAGAATAGAATAGAATAGAATAGAATAGAATAGAATAGAATAGAATA